TCACCACCTCACTCCAGTCAACGTCTCACACATGTCATAATTCTGTTCATGAGCACGAGCTACTAAGTCATGACCCACTAAGTTCTCAAACACATCAACAGATCATGAATATAGAAGATGTTAAACATGATTACGTTTATGTAGGGCAGACAAGAGAGTGTAATGAACTGAAATGCTAAACAAGATACATCATGAATATACATACATGACTGACTTCCATTATTAATCTTACCGCTAGGATGTCAAAACTTCTCATAGCAAACTATCCGTCTTACGACTTCTCTAATATAATAATACGGTAAACAGGAAACTAGAAACGATGTCGTTTTGACACATGAAAGTCGCGCTCCATGATAATCACCGTATACAGTCTATAAATAAAATATTCTTTTTTCCAAATTTCTAACCTATTTCTCATAAATAATAATTTAAAATATATATATAATATATATATAATATATATATATATATATATATATATATATTATATATATGTTATGTCTTTTTACATGAAATAATCTTTTCTTATTTTATAAATTACCTTAATTAATCCTTTTGTAAATTCGTAAATTCTAAAATTTAATACATACCCACTTGTTTTCATGTCAAATTCTAAAAATATAACAATTACCAACATTATCTACTAATTTTCACGTGGGCACTCGCATCATCATTCACGCAGATAGTTCAAAAATACTATTGACCAATATAATAATTTACTAGGTGTAATCATCATACAACACAGTATTATCCTAAAATACCTTTATTTACATCTAATCACCACTATAATACGAATAAACATTAATTAAGAAACAATGTAACGCGAGATCTTGCTACAGACGAGTCGACTGCGAGTGGGCTAGCGGCGTCGATAGCGGTGAGACAACGAAAAGGTCAGATCTTGGACAGCGCGGTTGTTAGCTGGTTGTCTCGTCGGTGAATCGGGCTAAGACGACGGCGGTGGGAGGATGTCGAGGACTGCAACTTTTCGAGAGGGCGAGGGACTGTCGAGTGCTCGGCTACGGAGGCCGTGGGCGAGCTCGTCGCGAGGACCCGTCGCGGCAGCGCTTGGTGGAGGCTCAGGCGGAGAGCGGTGAGGGGGAGCGCGTTGAGGCGGAGGAGAGGTGTGGAGTTTGAGTGAGTGAGGTCATGGCTGCTGCGTGGTTTAGGGAGGAGAGCTGGTGGTGAGGTGACGACGACTGTCGTCGGAGCTCAGTGGGGCGCGTCGCGCTGCTGTAATCAACGCGGCGGCTTGCCCTGGAGGCTGGAAGACGTCTGGGTTGTCGGCGGAGGAGGACGTCGACGGGGAAAGAGGGGCGAGAGGGCGCGGGCGCTGGGCAGAGTTCGAGAGCTTCTAGTCGGCAGCGACGTGTGGGCAGGCTGGGTCGGAGCAGCGACGAGGTGTTGAGGTGGGGCGTCCCGTCGAGGGGTCGAGCCTCGGAGGGTGCTTGGCGCAGGGCGTGCAGGCTGGTCGGAGCGCGCACGAGGTCGGGGTGGCTGGAGGTGGATCTCAGGAGGTTGTGGCTCTTTGATGGCGTCGAGCTCGTGAGGTGGAAGCTGGCCGCGACGGTCGTGCGAGGGAAACGGCAGGGCGGGAGGGAGAGAGGGGAGGACAGTCTGACGGAGCGCGGTGGATGCTGGAGGAGAAGACACGAAGAGAGAGGGGGGAGTTGGCTTCGTGGTTCTTGGAATGGAAAAGCAGCCAGTGAGAGAGAATAATAAAAGAAGAGAGAGAGAGTGATGGTGATGAGTGAGTGAAAGAGAGTGGGACATCAGCTTTTAATGCAGAGATAATATAGAGAGAGTGTCAGAGAGAGAGAGAGATGAGTGTGATGGAGAGAGAGTAAGAACGGCGAAGATTTATTGAGAGAGAGAGTACGTGATAGGTGTTGGGAGGATTTGGGTTTGAAAGCTGGGGAATAAGCAGAGCAGAGGATTTGTCGTGATTGGGGAGAATATACAGAGTGAACACCCGGTGAGAGGAAAAACAAGGGAAAAATACCCTATTAAATAATCTTAAAAAAATCATACAATTATAAAATAAAATCAAATTAAATTTATGGTCAAAATAATAATAACAATAACAATGAGGATAATCTAACTATTATTTTAAAAATTTAACCAAAACAATTAAATTTATAATTACATAAACTATTAAAATAACATAATATCTATTTTTAAATCGTCGAAAATTCTTAGTAGAAATTGGGAAAAATACAAATACTCTTTAAAAAAAATAATATTTAATATTTAAATACCAGAAAATTATTTAAACCCGTATTAGAAATTTACGGTCATTACAGATTATGTCCCAAAAGTGACTTGGGAATAGGATGAGCCGCTTTTACATTTAAGACTTTGTCAGAGTTTGAGACTTTTAACGTGACTGATCAATATTGTGGTTGATCGATGTACATCTTGGAAATATCTTATTTGGATGACTCGGATCTTTATCTTCCCCAGCTTGATTGAATTGAAAGACGGGTCGTTCTCGTACACTACTAAATTATGAGGCATCCTAGACGGAAAATTCCGTCTAGGATACCTAGAATCCCGTCTAGAATGTGTATCCTAGACGGAATTCCGTCTAGAATACGCGTCTAGTATGTTTCCGTCTACGATGTAGTATTCTAGACGGAAATTCCGTCTAGAATACATTCTAGACGGACTATTCTAGACGGAATTCAAAACCGTCTAGAATACATCCTAGACGAATTATTCTAGACGGAATTTCCGTCTAGAATAGTACATCCTAGACGGAAAAAAATTCCGTCTAGGATCAGTATCCTAGACGGAAATTTCCGTCTAGGATAGTCATCCTAGACGGAATTTCCGTCTAGGGTGTTTTTTAATTTCTTTAATTTTTTTTCAAAAAAGCAAGTATCCTAGACGGAATTTGAGCATCCTAGACGGAATTCAACACGACCCACCATCGCCATAACTCACCAACCCATTTTTTTTTTTTTCATCTCTTTTTTCCTATTTACATCATAATACTCTCTCATCAAGCCAGAATCTACTTTGAGTACATGTACACAATATTGAACATCTAAAAAATTTTATTTATATCCAACACAATCTAATTATATTCCAATATCAAATCCAATTACATTCAAATAATACATTCACTAAAAAATTAGAAAGATACATAAAGTGTTTACGAGCATTCCCCTCTTCTCATATTAAAATATGCTCAAAATTTTGGTAGCCATCTCCAATATGCAGTACAGCAGACCTTCCCAAGATTGCCTCGACACTGCAGTATGAAAAAACAAACCAAGCTTCTCAAGGACTGATCATCTTGCAAGAATCATTTTCCTGCAGCAGATTATTATCTACGAAGAGAAGATAAATGTTACTAACAATTTAGCTAAATTGCAGAAGAACACCATAAAAGGCTTACCTCCTCCACATATAAAGAAGTCATCTTTTTCTCTTCATCCTTTCAAGAAGAAAATCAAAGAAAAACAGTGCTAACTTCCTGAATGAGCCATCAGGGTACAAATCCCTTCAGCCAAGAGTTCAGAGACTCAAATCAGCCCTTTAATTGAACATAACCAAAGGGGCTACATCCAAACACGAGCATGGGCTCCAACCTGATTTACGACAAGAGAAACAAGCAATCCAACAACATTTTAGATCATCACATGTACAATATCAGAGACTAATTAGACGATCCACAAGATCAGGCAGTTTCAATGGAGATTAAAATCTCCAGTAAGAGGAATAAAATATTACAAATAAAGAGAATGTTAAACATATTGCATTCTGAAAAAAGATATAGTAATTGTCATTGAGCGATACAGATCAATGCATCTTTCAGTAACTCTACACAGATAAAGGAGAAAAAACATAAATTCATCGGTAGGTAGACGTTTATAAGAGCAACAATACTTGCAGAGAATGCCTAAGAGCACCTATACAACAACCAAACCAACTATATATAAGAAAGCAACATCAACTCAATTCACAAATAACATTCATGCCGAACAGGAAAAATTCTCCTACTTACTCACTAAAACCTGCTGAGATTTGTTATCAATCTGCAATATAATCGCTTTACTGCCCAGCGACCCATCTCTCTGCAAGTCAATACTGATCGACGCCCTCGTTACCCCATTCTCCCCTGTCGGCTGCACATCAATTTCACAATTACACTCAAAATTTATAAAATCACTCAGATTTCCCCATCAATTTCACAATTACACTCAAATTTATAAAATCACTCAAAATTACATCAATTTCACAATTTAAAAATTTCCCATGATAAACATCTTGGAGTACTAATTAGAATTACATTTCCTTTTATTCTTCATGAAATTGTGCATTAATGACACTCTATAACAAAAAAAATTCTGTACATTACCATCTTAAATTGAGATTCATTGATTATCTCTAGTAAGTAAACTTAATATCACTCAAGTAAATTCTATAAAAGTAAAGATAACTTATCAAATAACATGAATTAACAATTTTTAAGACATCATCGATGAAATTTAACTGCAAAAATTTATCAAACATCAAGTAACATATCTGGAAACTAACTGCCAAGCTCTTCACTAGAGCTGCATGTAGTTACATGTCCAAACCCTAGATGACTGTGCACTTGCATTAATTTGAAAATGTAGCTCAAGACTTTTTTTTAAAATATAAATTTCACCTATATAATCCAATCTATTCAATACCCAACAAAAGCTAATCGATGCATAACAAAGAACAACAACCAGTAGTCCTACATGTTGAATGTTATACTTACTATAGGAATCATGTCCTCACTATATCCACCAGTCTGCACAAAGTTGAAAAAAATTTAATTAGCATCTTAAGCCCAAATTACACTGATCAAGAACTAAATATCCGTTGCAGACATCAAAATGTGCATACTGCGATGACATTCACAAGGGAAGTTTTCCCAGCGTTCTGCAGTCAACAAAAATAAAAAAATTAAGGTAAATAGTACTATCTATTCTATCTCAATCGACTCCTACAGCTCCAAAGAAATAAAATTCCAATCTTGATCTTCGTCCCTTTTCACCGTTACTAACCCTAGAATTCAAAATTTTGCCTGAACAAACGAAACGCAACAAAACAGATTCAAACCCTAAAAATCCGATGATTCGAATCTAAGAACAAACGAATCAACGAGTAATGCGGGAGGGGTCGAGGATCTCACCTTCGGAGCCAATTGAGGATAGTTTCCAGCAGCCCCATGCATTGAATTAGCGGAGAAATTAGGGCTTTTTTGGAGCTGGAGAAATTGGAGATTAGCGATGTTTTTTTTATAAAGGAAAACAGAGGAACCTTAAAAATCTCCAGGCCTGATTCAGAGAGCACATTCGCGAGCTGAGGGGGAGGCGACGACGGGACGACGAACGGGGACGACGATGTCGAAGGAGAAGGAGGGCGCGGGGGCGAGGGGGGAGGCGACGATGGGACGGGAGTTATCGCCTTTGAACAGAGGAGAAGAAGGGGAGAAGAATAGGGGAAGAGAAAATTTGGGGATCTCTGTGATTTTTAAGAGGGGGCAGAATTTAGGATTGAGGAGGGAAAATTCGGGGTTGAGGTGGGAATTTTAGGCGGGAGAAATTAAAGGATACCGTGGCTTTTTTTTATTAAAAAATTAGCTGATCATCCTTGACGGAAATTTCCGTCTAGGATTCCGTCTACGATTCTCGGTTCATTATAAAAAAATAAATAAAAAAATAAATTCGTCTAGAATATCATTCTAGACGGAAATTTCCATCTAGAATACTATATTCTAGACGGAATATCCTAGACAGAATTTTTCGGTCTAGGATGTAATATCCTAGACGGAAAATTTTTCGTCTAGGATATTCCGTCTAGAATAATTAATTTTCTACTAGTGGTAATTTGTTGACCAGATAAGTGAGTCGTCAATTCAGTCAGATAGCTCGGTAGACGGCCGAGTCGCCCATTGGAGGAGTCGCCTCAATTGGGAGTTGGGTGGACTCCCGAGGAGTCGCCTCAATTAGTGCAGGGCTGACTGCTTCCGCGCTTTGCGTCGGCTAAAGCGTTTATCTTTTGGCTAGGCTTTCCAGCTGAGTCGATTTGAATGATGACTCCATTAGGCCCATGAAGACAATCTTTTAACATTTTCATCCATAGATGGTAGATTACCATAATAATTATAGTTGGTCATTTACTATTGAATTTTCATGAAAATATACGCTACTTTGTCTAACTATATGCATTGCTCATATGTATTCATAGATTAATGGTAATATGACATATGATTTTCCTTTGTAGAAATTTATTATCTGGTTTTTGGATTACATAACCACTATACAACACTTTCTCACGTAAAGGACCTTACTCAAAATGGCTTCAAGCCAAGGTTTGCATTAAACTGAATAATAAATAACTCAAACAACCCCCAAAAATTTATAAAATTTATAATACACACTCAGAACTTTTTACAAATTGCAAAGTAAAATACTCAAAATTATAAAATTTATAAAAATCCTGATAATTTCAACCTAACAGTACATTGAAAATATAGGAATTATAAATATCCCCTACATAATTTATAATTTATATAAAACACCCTTAAAGTTTTAAAAATTACAAACAAACATTTAAATTTTAAATTTTACAAAAAAACACCCTGAGAATTTTAAATTCATTAGTAAATTGAAAGTATATGAATTATAAATAGTCTATAAACAATTTATAATCTATAGAAAATGCCTATAAGTTTAAAAAAATTGTAAACAACCACTAAAATTCATAATTTATAAAAAAACACCATGAGAATTCTATAAACACCTTTTAAAAGTATAGGTTTAGGAAAAAGTTTTCATGGTAAATATTACCCATAACTTTTTAAAAAAAAACATAACTAACTGAAAATCTATTAAATTTAAAATTTACAAAAAAAACACCCTTAAAGTTTAGTACATTGCAAATTACCCCTTCAAAGTTTGAAAATTTTAAATAATTTTTTGTAATTACTTGATTTAAATGTAATGTTTAATAGTTTTGTGTATTTATAAATTACAAAATTTTAGGATTTTTTTTACAATTTTTAAATCTTTTGAGGGTGTTTATTTTATAATTTTCTAAATTTTTATTGTAATTTCAGCGTAATGCACAGATACGTGTCGTTCTTAAGATTATTAGACTATAGTTAAGTGTACATCACTATTCCTAGGTAGTATAGTTTATATACACAAAAAATTTCAGACAGTCTATATAGTGGTTAGAAAGATTTTAACTTTAATGTACTATTTTTTATAAATTATATTTAATGTGAACCCACTATGTAATTTTGACTGTGGTCATCATAATTTTAATATGTTTGATTGATTGACTATATCCGCATATAGACCATAGATTATTATATCTTCTCACATGAGCAAATATTTGGTGCTTAATAATTTAAATTATTACTTTTAAATTTAATATAAAGAGAAGCTCTATTAACATTTATTTATCTACCTACAGCATAATACAATCTCAATTCCTATCTTTTTGCTAGAGATTTATTGCATAGTTACGCGTATCAAATTAGTAATTAAAATAATAATTATTTATGCTTAAATTAGGATCATTGTAGTTGGTCACTCACCATGGAATTTTTATGAAGATATACATCTTACTTTCTATAGCTATCTGCATTGACCATGTATATTTTATAAATTAGTTCTTAATTTGATATATTAAATTACGTTTCCTTTGTAGAAATTTCTTCTTTGACTTTTAGACCGTGAAATCACCATAGCATTATTCTAGCGTAGAAATGACCTCACTTTAAATAACTTCAAGCCAATGTTTGAGTTGAACTGAAGTATTTACTATTGCTATTATGTGTATATATTTTTCAAAAAAATCATGTCAACACTTTTTAAATTGAGGAGAATATTCTAACCTCTGATATTATAAAAACTAAATATAACCAATTGAGTGATTAGTAAAAGAAAACTTATATCAGAAAAGTATGAATAATAAGATAAAGAGGAAAGACAATGGTATTGCCAACAGTACTACAAGTAGCAAATTATAATGTAAAGTTAACATATTTTGTAGAGCCCAACTACTAGCTCTAAATTCTTACGTCTTTTATAGAGGCCAAAAATTTTGAATACAAGCCTCTAACATGCGTTGCTCTGCACAACAACAAAATCCACTTAGCAGATGTGGATATTCCAGATGAGTTATGAATTTTATATACAATACAATTGTCCTAGGCCATGTGAGTTATAATAGCATTTTTTATTCACATCATTTGGGATAAGATTTGATAGGGACCTTGCATCAAAGAAAAAAGAAATTTTTATAATTAGAGCACATGGTAAATATATCATAATGCTCATTGTTCTAATTTTGCAAGAAAGTAATTATTCATACTTTTAGTTTTACTTCTGTGATACACGAGAATGGAGCCTATAAAATTGAATGAGCAATATTAGATGAATATAAATATGAGTATAACAATAAGCTAAAAGTTAACCGTGAATATGAGTCAAACCAACAGCTAAAAAGTTTAATGAACATACTTTACGAATTGAATGATCACTCATCTTTTGAAGACTTCAAGATACTAATAAATAGAGATGTTGTACTAGATTAATGTGTTTATAACTCACTAATAATAGATCACACGGTCAAAGTCTGTGTTGAAGGAAACAATGATAATATTTTCTTTGAGAGAGAGATTATTGAGTTGATGATCAATCCCACAAAACACTTTGTTCTCTTTTTTTACTCTACTTTTATTAAATTAATTAATCATGATATTCAACCACGTGTATCGCACGTGTATATCAACTAGTAATGAGAAAATATGTAAACTACATATCATGCATTATGCCTCTAAGCCATCAAGAGACCTTAAGTTATACATTATTATATATTTCAACATTGCTTAGGACTTAGGTCGTGTTATCTTTGATTTTTATTTTATTTTTTTAATTTTTTTAAACAAAAAGTGAAGTTCGTGTGCTTTTGGATTGCTTGCTAACCATTAATGTATGTTGAGAAATTGTGATGAGATCATTGACAATTGTAATGTTACATTTGAAAACTGTGATTGGTTCAATTTATTAAATCATTGTGAATATTTTTTTATGTATAAAATAATTGTGACTATTTTTTCTTAAATACTTAAATTAATAATAAGTAAAACATGTAACCTGCGTTATATATCACGTTACTTTACGTTTTACGTTATCAGGAGGCGAACGTTACATTATGCGTTCTCATTATTTTCAACATTGGGTTGAATTCAACATTGGGTCGAACAGAATGAAGAAAAGATGTTCGTGTCTCAAAACATGTAAATATCAATAATAAAAGAACTCGAGAAATTGCAGGACTATCTGCTGGAATGCACCAACAATCTGGACCAACTGGTGAACTGTCTAATCCAACTTACCCTAAGAAAGTTCAGCCATCCGAAGAAAAATGGTATACACATCCACACGTATGGCTTATCACTACTGTTCAGCGGCTAATGCCGTTAGTAGTACATTTAGGGAATCTATAATAGCCAAGAATAACAAGACATAGTAGCAATGAATAAAAAGTGCCTTATATAAGATAAGTCCTGCGCTGCTCAAAGGAAAATTGAAAATGAAGTAGGACAAATAGCAGTTCCAGAATTTAAAAATGTAAGACGAGTTTGACTTCAAAGGAAAATGCCATAAACGCTTGCGTAGAATACACAATTGATAACAGCTTAGAGTGTGCTCAAATAGCGCTCATCAATTTTAGCTATTGCAGTATCAATGCTGGCCCGCCATGCTCATAGTGCTGGCAGCATACAAAGCATTGTGCTAATCACTGAAATAATGAGTTTTTTGTCTCTACTGTACAACATATCAGTCAAGCCTTCAACAGGAACTGCCCAGAATCACCCATAGCAAAAGGTGCCCAGCAAGCTGCGATGATTCAACAGCGACGCTAGGCAAGTCCGATATACCAGCGCTACGACTCGCCCCGTCAAACGGTGACCGCACAGAGCGTATTGCGCTGCGCAAGAACGCCACAACAAGTAAGCCAGGCTCGCGCCTCATGGGGCACGCCACCGTTCTAACTTGCCAGCCCTCTCTCGCTGCCGCATGCGCGTGGCCACAAGCACGGTGGTCGCCGGTCGAGGCACAAGGCATTAAGCCTGAAAGCACAGGGGGCATCAGCCAGGCGTGACCGCCGCATCGCCAAGCCTCCACCGCCTTGCCTCCACCGCCTCCTCACCGCCACAGCATGCAAGCAATTACAGTTTCGCAGAATTTAAAATGGCTATAGGGCACATCCAGCACGCGAACGCGAAAATTGCAATAATAAGTAGGCATTAATTAGCAAGTTGCCCAGAATTTAAAATAGTAAGAGATTTGACTTCAAAAAGGAAAATGCCCCATAAACGCTTGGTAGAATAGCAAATTGCATAACGTTGGAGTGTGTTCAATAGCTCTCATGCAATTTTAGGGCTATTGGCAGTAATCATGGCTGGCACCCGCATGTCATAGTACTGGCAGCATCAGAGATTGTCTAATCACTGAAATAATGAGTTTTTTGTCTGCCTCCGTACAACATATTAAAGTCAGGCACTCA